TCATCCCAGCCTGGGAAACATGACAAGACCCTGACTCTATGAAAAATGTTTTAAAAAAATTAGCCAGGTGTGGTGGCTCACGTCTGTGGTCCCAGTGAGCCAAGATTGCATCAACTACTTACATCTCTAGTTGGGACCAGGAAGGTGAAAAAAAAAAAAAAAAAAAAACAAACTTGCTGCCTCATCCCAGCCTGGGAAACATGACAAGACCCTGACTCTATGAAAAATGTTTTAAAAAAATTAGCCAGGTGTGGTGGCTCACGTCTGTGGTCCCAGCTGCTTGGGAGGCTGAGGCGGGAGGATCGCTTGAGCCCAGCTGATGGAGGGTGCAGCGAGCTGAGATCACGCCACTGTACTTCAACCTGGGTGACAGAACAAGACCCATTCTCAGAAAACAAAAAAACAAAAAACTGCTGCCTGACGTACCATATCTTTCACATCTTGTTCAAGCAGTCATTATTGGATGAGTATTTCAGTTATTTCCCATCATTTCCTATGATAAGCAGCTCTCAGCAAGCACCTCTGTTCCTGTCTCCTTGTGCACAGGCATAAGCGATGTACTGGCTGGTAGGAGATGCTCATCTCTGGTTTTCAGAGATCTTTGCCAAATTACCCTTCAGAGTCTGTGTGTGCGCTTTAGTGGGGTGGGGTGTCCATTCCTGTTCTTTGGTGCTGTTTATTTCTGGTTTCTTTTCCACACTAGCTGCAGAGTGGAAAGGAGCCAAGGGGAGGGAGAGAGAAATCCGTCTCTAGGTGTTCCAAGGCCCTGGATGTGCCACAGGGCCGGCCTCTCCTCCGGAGGCGGTAAATGGCTGCTTTGTTCTTGGGTTCGTCCCTGAGCAGAATCAGAACGCAGAGACCTGTCAAGTGGACAAAAGAAGTTGTGCCCATCCCCAAGCTTGGATCCCACCCCTTGACCCGGAGAAACTGTTAACTTTGTAGGAGTCGCACACACACCAGTGTGACAGGGCATGGGGCGAGCGCCCACCCCGAACCCTGAAATAATTAAGTTATAAAAAAGAAAAAAACATAACAAAAGAGCCTGACCCTCACTAACGGATGTAAAGGAAAGAACCAAGCTGACTCTCCATCTAGGAGAAGTGGGAGGCGCAAAGGGGGAAAGGGGCTTGGGGGAAACCCAGGACGGAAGGAAGGGGTGTGCAATGGATCAGATCTGGATTGAAGAGGGGGACAGATGGGAAAGGGGAAAGAAAGGAGGGAAAGGAGAAAGAGCGAGGAAGGTGCTGGAGGACAGTGACAAGGTAAGAAGAGTAAGGAGAGGGCTGGAGGAGGGAGGGGTGGCCAAGAGCAGTTTCGGAGGGGTAGGCTGCGTCCCAGTCTGTTTGTGATTAGCACGCAGCCTAGTGCAGAATGGAGTAAACAGAAACTTCCAGGCGTCCCCTCCGCCCCTCTCTGAGGCAAAGCAGAAATCAGATGCTCTGTGATTAATCGTGGAGGATTCAGGACACGACCACAAACGCTGTGCGGACTTGAAATTAGCTGCCTTTTCCCAGTCCCCTTGCCAAAATGGGAGTGGGGGGTGGGACGTGAAGGGGTGGGGGCCCCGCCTGCGGGGGGCCAGCATGGAATTCCCCCCGGCAGAGCTGGGAGTGACACTGACAAGCAATCGGCCGCGTCCAGAGCAGCAGGCGGCATCCGGGGGGAGCGGGGCCGGCTGGGGGGCCCCAGGAGGGCTTCCTGGAACCCCAGCTCCATGGCCGCCTGCACCCTGACACAGGCCAGATAAGAGTCCCGGCTGCATTATCAGAGCCCGGCAGGGCACCGGCCTCCCTGCACCAGAAGGAAGACTGGGGGCGCAGCAGGTCCTCAAGGCGATCTTCCCAGAGAGCGGGACCCGCGGCTGGTGGCCAGAGTGGATGGACTTTGCCGAGCCCTAGCTCAAGTCCGGGAGTCCCGGGCCAGATGGGGGCAGACGCTTGCTGGCGGCAATAGAGAAAGTGAGGCAGCTGCAAGGAGGGCGGCGGGACTGCACTTGAGTGTCCAGACCTGCTCGATGGTGAGTGTGAAGTGACTGCTTCCCATGTGTGCCGCGACGCCGCCTTGTGTGGACAGACTTCTGGAGCTGGGGGTGACGGGGGGAGGCAGCCCTTCCTCACAGGCCACCTGGAACTCCCAAGGCCAGAGGAGGGAACCTGGGTTGAGTCTGAGCTGGGATGGCGGTATCGTGCTGTGTGGTCTTAGGCAAGTTACTTGCCCTCTCCAGGCCTCCGTTTGTCCATTTCTAAAACCGTGGTTGAACTGGGTGATCTTTAAGAGATTCTCATGATGACAGCTATTCCTTGTGCAACTGCGATAAGCCAGGCAGTGTGTAGGCATTTCTGAAGCCTCCGCTGGGGAAATCCCTGTAAGCCCGCTGTGGGGTAGGTATTATTGGTGTCCTCATTGTACACTGGGAGAAGCAGCTGGGAGAAGCGAACTGACTTGCTGAGGTCACACAGTCCGTCAGTGGCAGAAACCAGAAGAGACCTAGGTTTTTCCGATTCTGCTTTGGCTAAACTCTTCCGCACACCCCCAGGATTCTGTATTCTGTGCTCCATGGTTCTGCAATTATCCCAAGCAGCAGGAGTGAAGGAGAAGGAGGTGTGGATGGAACATCAACTGCAGGAGGGAGGCAGAGGTGGGACAGGAGTGACAGGCTGACACCGACAAGCAGCCTTTTACTCTCTAAAGGATGTGTCAAGCCAGGGTGGGGGCTGGCGGCCCTGGGATGGGGCAGGGGCTCCAGGCTTGAATGACGAGCACCCAGTACAATTTCCTAGATTTGCTGCCTTGTTGTAGGAGGCTCCTGGGGGCATGAGAGAAGAGGGTTAATATGTCAGAGGTGGAGAGAGCTGGGGGCAGGGAAACTGGCATATGCCTCAACTGGGTTTTGTTCCAATTTTATTTTGCCTTTGCAGAAAATCTGTTTCGAATCACTCTGGGCCCGTGCAGCGTTTTTGGATGAAATAGAATTGTGAAACGCGTACAGCGCTTTCCACATGCCTCCTCTGGGGGGAATCACATATTAATATTATCGTAAGCTATTTGCATATATATCCCTGCAGCTGTGGCTGGCAGCAGCCAAGAGATAAGAGACAGATAAAGTCAGCTTGTGTCTCCCTGGCACAGAAAGGGAGGGTGCAGGTTACATTCAAGAACCAGGAAACACACAGCAGGTGGGGAATCCCTGGGGTTCCAGGCATCAGGCCAGAGTCAAAAGTCCCAGCACCCAGATGTGGCCTTTTCTTTTTTCTTCCCTTGGAAAATTCCATCCTGAAGCATCTCTGTACTGATCCAGGCCTCCTTTCCTTTCAGGGACTGGCTGTGAATCTCCCACTGCCCACCTTGGGGACGAGTCAGCCCTGAGTCTGTGGTCTCAGCTCTGGGAGCAACTTGTCCAGAAGCTCCCCCAGTCCCAGGCAAACTGGGACAATTGGTCACCCTACCCAGTTCCACCCTGGATTTTCTTTGTGACCTTGAGCAAGTCACTTCCCTTCTCTCAGCTTCCTCATCTTTAAAACAAAGGGATTATTTTAGGAAAGCTCTACAATCTCTCTGCAACCCTCAGATTCCATGAGTCTGGTTGAAGAGCACTTAAGTTCTGGGTGAGGGTGTCTGAAAGTAAGATGAAGTTTGGAGGGAGGCTGGATGCAGTGGCTCACGTCTGTAATCTTAGCACTTTGAGAGGCCAAGGCAGGCCGATCACCTGAAGTCAGGTGTTTCAGACTAGCCTGACCAACATAGTGAAACCTCACCTCTACTAAAAATACAAAAAATTAGCTGGCCATAGTGGTGCGTGCCTATAGTCCCAGCTGCTTGGGAGGCTGAGGCAGGAGAATCGCTTGAACTTGGGAGGTGGAGGTTGCAGTGAGCTGAGATCGTGCCACTGCACTCCAGCCTGGGAAACAGAACGAGACTCCATCTCAAAAAAAAAAAAAAAAAAAAGAAGTTTGGAGAGGAGGAAAATCTCCCCGCCACTTCCCTAGAGGAGTCCAGGATGGCGCTGGAGGAGGCTGGAATGAAGGTGGGCTTGGGGAAAAGGACTGATGGCCTGTGGTACCATCGGCACGGGGGTCAGTTGTAACAACCCGATGGCCCTGCAGCTTCTGAGGAGCCTCATGGGTTGTTGAAAGCGTGTCATGATCTTGTGGCCCAGCGTTTGTACTGAGTGCTTTGACCCAGAGGCCCACTGGTTGCTGAGGTTTTCCCCATTAGAACCTCAGTGCTCCCCCAGGATCCCCCAGTTCTTCCTGGGGAGCTCCAAAGGGGTATTTCACGTGCGCTCGCGAACCAGTCTCTTATTTTAGTCATCCTTCCTGCTTCCTCTTTCCTCTGGGGCCGTTTGGAGATGCTTCCCTGCCCAGCACAGCAGCGTCCACGGTGCCGTCTCTGTAAACTCCCAAAGCTTCCCGCTACTTAGCGCTTGAGATGCCCTGGGTTCTGGGCAGATACGAAGATAATGGCTTCCTCCTCAGTTCAGTGATATTCTTTGCCATGTTGTCCCCACACAGAGGTGTGCTGGAGTTAGCTTGTACCAGCTTGTGAAAGCTGATTGTCAGATTTTCAGGAATTAGGTGAATGGGTTGCTAAACGCAGCCATTGTTAAATATTAAATTATATGAACTTACAATTAAATAAATTATATGAAAAACAAAGGTAATCAAGGCTGAGTGTGGTGGCTTATACATGTAATCCCAGCATTTTGGGAGGCCAAGACAGGAGGATCATTTGAGCCCAATAGTTTGAGACCAGCCTGGGCAACATAGCAGGACCCCATCTCTACAAATAATTTAAGAAAAAACTAGCTGAGTGTGGTGGTGCGTGCCTGTAATCCTAGCTACTCAGGAGGCTGAGGTGGGAGGATTGTTTGAGCCCAAGAGGTCGAGGCTGCCATGAGCTGTGATCTCACCACTGCACTCCAGCCTGGGCCACAGAGCAAGACATTGTCTCAAAAAAATAAAAATAGATAAACAAATAATTAGAAATTTTTTAGAAAGGAAAATATTAACTGGTATTTCTGAAGAATTATACTCCTTCATCAATTGTAACCATAGGTTGATTACAGATTTTGCTGGGGGCAAAAAATCAACAAAACTGCTACCTGTGAATGAAATGATTATATTACATGTACAAAAAAGGGTATTGTAAGTTTTATTTTTATTTGTAAATTGTGTGCTCCACATCCTTTATTTGAAGACAATTTTTTTTTTTTTTTTGAGATGGAGTCACTCTGTCGCCTAGGCTAGACGACAGTGGCGTCATCTCGGCTCACTGCGACTTCCGCCTTCCAGTTTCAAGCAATTCTCCTGTCTCAGCCTCCCAAGTAGCTGGGATTACAGGCGCCTGCTACCATGCCTGGCTAATTTTTTATATTTTTGGTTGAGACGGGGTTTCACCATGTTGGCCAGACTGGTTCGAACTCCTAACCTCAAGTGATCCACCCACCTCAGCCTCCCAAAGTGCTGGGATTACAGGCACGAGCCACTGCGCCCAGCCTACATCAATACAATTTATAATAAACCGAAGTAGTGTGTGTGGATATGCAAATATATGTACTCGCCCATGCACACACGTGCACCACACACTCACTTTCCGGGGGAGAGAGCTGGTTGCTAAACCTTTGCCAGCGCACCACTGGTTCCACAGCACCTATGGTCGTGTCCGGGTTGTCCAAAATCCTCTCACAAACAGTCCTCAGTCCTCTTCCAAAGGAATTCAGACCCCAGGCACAGGCCTTGGATGCAAATCTTTCAACTTTCTCCTCTCACTTAAACCAGCAGCCCAACTGCTCTCTCTTGCTGGAAGCACTGGAGTGGATGCCGACACATCGGGTGGGGTAGAGACCCTGTCTACACTAGCAGCATCTGGGCCCCAGCTCCACTAGCGACAAAGGCCCTGGGACGCACTCTCCATTGCGTCCACTGTGTCTGCATTCGCAGGGCATTTCGAGTCGGTCCGCAGCGGCTCCCGATTAGTCCTGTTCCGTTTCTAGTCTCTCTCCTGCCATTCTTTGTTTTCATGCACAGCGAATGATGCCCTAACAGAAACGGCATCTTGGAAGAAGTCAGAGGAACAGCTAAGCCAAACCTATAGGAAAGTTCAGACAGCTTGCTATTTTTAGAAACTCTAGGAGCCAGGTGGGCCCTTTCCAGTTGTAAGGGCCTAAGCCAGCAAGCACGAGAGGAAAATATTTCTCATTCCCAAGTTCCGCTCTCTTATAGTCCAGGCCAAAGAGGAGGCCCAGGTGGGACATTAGCTAAGAGAAGCGCGACTGCAATACAAGAGGAGAACCATGCCCACAGCAGTTTAAAAGAGAACTAAAACATGCATTTTTTTTTTCTTTTTTTTTGTTAAAAGAGTCTCACTCTGTCACCCAGGCTAGAGTGCAGTGGCGCCATCTTGGCTCACTTCAACCTCTGCCTCCCAGGTTCAAGAGATTCTCCTGCCTTAGCCTCCCTAGTAGCTGGGATTACAGGTGTGCGCCACCACGCCTGATTTTTGTAGTTTTAGTAGAGATAGGTGTCTCACCATGTTGGCCAGGCTGGTCTCAAACTCCTGACCTCAGGTGATTCGCCCACCTTGGCCTCCCAAAGTGCTGGGATTACAGGTGTGGGCCACCGTGCCCAGCCTATTTTAAAAAAAATTCTATCCCATCAGGCCAGGCACAGTGGCTCATGCCTATAATCCCAGCACTTTGGGAGGCCAAGGCAGGAGGATCGCTTGAGACCAGGAGTTCAAGACCAGCCTGGTCAGCATAGCAAGACCCTTGTCTCTACAAATATATTTTAAATAATTAGCTGGGTGTGGTTGCATGCACCTGTGGTCCCAGCTACTCAGGAAACTGAGGCAGGAGGCTCACTTGAGCCCAGGAAGTTGAAGCTGCAGTGAGCCATGTTTGTGCCACTGCAATCCAGCCTGAGTGACAGAGTGAGACCCTGTCTCAAAAACAAACAAAGAGGAACGAAAAAGAAATTCCGTTGGCTCACCTGTCAACCTGCACCCAGAGGCTGACAGCTC